ATGAAGATGATTATGACCATTTTTGCAATAAGAATATAAATTTTAATAAACTTTTCGACAAAAATAATCATGAACAAGAAAAGAGTGACTTATTTGTTCAGTTACCACAATATTTTACTTTTCTCAGTTGCCATAGTTACCACAACATTTTAGCCAGTCATATATAAGACTTTATTGCAAAAAATGATGCTGAGAAAATAATACAGATTTCAAAAAGTAGTTATTATAGTAAGTAGTAATGTATAGGAAAACAATGGCAAGCGTTAATCATTATGGAGCAAACAAAATACATTATATAAAGAAAAAATTCAAATAAGTCAAAAATTATCAGCAACTAGGTCGGTAATGCCGACCTAGCTGCTGATAGTTTGTCATAAATTATGGTAAACTTATTTATAGCATTCATGCATTCGAGCATTCAAGCATTCGAGCATTTCAAATACCCAAGTTAATTTTATTTCTTTGAAGTTTTTGATTTTATATTTGTGGTTTTGATTAGTTTGACTATTGACTATTAAATCAAAAAAGTTTAGATTAACTTGTTGTAAATTTTGTTGTTAGTGAAACACAAACTTTAACAATATTTGCTCATCATTTGGGAATATGGTAAAATTAAGTCTTCCTTGAGAATTGTTACTTGTAGTAAAGCTTTAAAACTATCTTTAAACTTTAAAACTGATCCTATTAGGATTTCATCTGATTTTTTATTACAGAGATATCACTATTGACTATTATGGGTGTTTTTCTTTGCCATTGAATAAGTAGACCAGTGTAATATCAACGGAGAAGACCCAGTTGCTGCAGACACAGACGACAAATCTAAAGGGCTAGTCAAGATTACTATTTTTATGTAGATCACCGTTAGCTTTATTTCTTTTTTTTTTATTTATCTAATAAAGTTGGCTCAGCTATTGTTCTACTAGATCTTATATAAATGTTTTTATAGTTACCTTTATGTAGACGTTATGGACCTTTATGTAAATGTAATATATATATATATATATATATATATATATATATATATATATATATATATATATATATATATATATATTATATATTACATATTACACATATGGGCAATTCCACTTTTAACTTAAGTTACATGCGCAACAACTTTATCAAATATTTGCCTATTTAAACTGTAAATTAAACTTTTAGCTAATTTGTATGAAAGCTATTAGTCTAAAGAATAAAATAAGCCAAAACGTTTTGAGTCTAGCCAAATAAGGGCGAATTTATTACAGAAAATGCCACTTAACTTACGTTACACACAAAACAAGGTAAAAAAATTGCTTTAACTTTTAAGTCAGATTTCTGCAAATCAGTAAAGCAGTTTGTATTAGAAACTTTCACAAGATATTAAGAAATCTATACCAATTTGAAAAATATATAAAATTTTATCAGAAATGACCAGCTAAGGAAAATAAATCTATGTCTATTATCAAGAGCTAGAGTTACATAACAAAAAATTGCAAAAGTGTTGAACTAATTCATTTAAAATAACTAACAAAGGAACTTTTAAAAACTGGTGGCACTCTTCCTAAGTGATTTTATATAACATTAATTAGAGTTTTCAAATTAAAAATAGTTTTTCCGCAACACCAAGAGCAACTTTAAAAAACAATTTTAGTATTACACCTTTATTCATACTAAATTATTTAAACAAGAAAATCTTTGGTTTGTCGAAGTTTTTACTTACACTTTTTTTGTTTATACCTATTGCCTTACTTTTTAGGTTGAATTTTTAGAATGCAAAGTATTTGCATTTAAAATCTCTTAAAATATTTTTGACATAAAAACTACTATCACAGTTTAGGAGGGAGAGAGGTATATGTGATTGTATATGTTCAGGTATATGTGATCGTTTGTGACAGGAGAGAAGGGGTTGAGAATTGACAAATATAGGGTGATGTACTTTATGGATGACCCCCTTTAAGTGCATTTACTAACGATTTGTTTTACTAAAACAAAAACAAAAAAAGGTTTTAACTAATTTTTTTATATTAGGAGAATAGCAAATTATTCTTTTCTTTTTAATGTCTAAATAAAAATATTGATATAATTTTTATTTATGTATATTTATATGTCAACTAAAATAAGAATACATAAACAAATAAAAAGAACAATATAAATAATTTTAATTTACATTAAAAAAAGGTTTTTATTCTAAATTCTCCTAATATTAAAAGTTTCACTTTGAACCTTGTTAACCCAACACAACGAAATAAGAATGACATAATTCATTTTCTAAACAAAAACTTAACGAAAAAGCGTTATAACTTTAGTAAATGCATGTAGTTTTAACTTACGTTACACAAATTTGAAATGAAAACTTGCTTTAACTAAGCATCGTTATCTAAAACTTTAAATGTAAAAAACTTTTAATATTCTTTCGCATATATTATTAAAAAACTTAAGTTTTTTACCTAAATTTTAGAAAAAACAAAACTTTATCATGTTTTTGTTAACTTACGTTACATGAAAATTGTAAAAGTTCTTTTGTTATTTTCATGAAATTTATAAATTTTATAAAGTATAAAATCTGACTAACAACAATTTGAACATGCTAGCTCCATTTTCACAATAAATTAATTCCGATTATGCCAATAAATTCATGGTTAAAATAACATTTTACAATGATTTACCATGCAGTGATGAAAAAAACCGTAACTTTCGGAAGCATAAAAATGACTTAAATTAATTTTGTACTAAAAATATATTTTAAATAAACTTTTATGTGTTTACAACAAAATATTTATTTGCTAAAAGTTGACAAAAAAGATAATAAAATTAGACTACTTTTTCATTTTCTGCCATGGAACTGTACATATATCATACTTTATAGTTAATAGTTTTTGAACCATATTTGAATTTTTTATATTGTTATTTTTGGTGTACTTTACCAGCAACTTTAGTTTACCAGCATCATTATTAATTACCTTAATAAAAACTTCTTAAATTATTTTAATGTACTTTTAAAATGATATTTACCTCCACAAGTACAATTTTCATATGATTAAATGTCATTTTTAAATGTTTATTTTGCAAGGTATTTGTAACTTTTCTCATTAAGATATACAGCAGTAAAAATAAAAATAAAGAGTTTTAAATGATAAATACAATTAAAAATAATAACAATATGATAACCACAATGATATCTAAACAATATAGAATGACAGATGTCAATTAAAAAATAAAGTTTTTTCTAGCTTTTAATTTAATGACTTTGCTAAACATTTTTTCACATAAAGAAAACAAATTTTTTTTGGCTACCTTGATTCGTTTTCTTGACTAGCTTGATTCATTTCATATAACTTGTCTTCGTTTTAGGACTTGTTTTTATATAACTTGTCCTAATTTCAAGTGTTGTTTTTATATAACTTGTCCTAATTTCAAGTGTTGTTTTTATATAACTTGTCCTAATTTTAAGTCTTGTTTTTATTTAATCATTTTAATCTTCTACAAGAACTTCTACAAGCTTAGCGAAATACTTTAAATGTTAAGTAAAAAAATACAAAAATATTTTTTTCACCTAATAAAGAAATTTATTTAATTATAAATATTGACAAACATAAATCTTGAGATTTAAAGAACTAAAGAGATGTAAGATGCAATTAATTTTAAAAGTTTTAAAAAATAGTGTCAAATTCACTAAAATTGCTCTATAAATCAAAGGTCAAATGTTTGATTGTTTCGGTTTTAATTGTTTGTAAAGGTTCTATCAGCTTAACTATTATGAAATATTCACACTTTTTTTTTTGTACGTACTCGTTAGAATTGGTTGGATTGAAAGATTTTATACCATTATTAGACGACTTCATTTTTGGGAAATTGAAATCACCAACGATCAAACAGTCATCATAGGGCTTCCTAATTAAGATATGAGCTAAATTGAAAGATTCAGCAACATAGTTTATTAGATTAGTATCATTTGGTATTGTGTTCCAGAGATTTTTAACAGCAAGATGAAGTCTATAATAATGTATTATATTTCAAAATTTATAAATTTTGATATTTTATTTAATAAAAAATAACAAAAAGTTTAGAGAAAAATATTTTTTTCAGCAGCTTTTATTATTTTATTTGACTAATTTTTTCTTTTTTTCCAAATTTTTAAAATTTATTTGTAAATCCATTTGTTTTTGTTTTTTTTACTTTGATTTTTTTAACTTTTAGGACCCGCATTATACCTAGTACATATATATATATATATATATATATATATATATATATATATATATATATATATATATATATATATATATATATATATATATATATATATATATATATATATATATGTATATATATATATATATATATATATATATATATATATATATATATATATATATATATATATATATATATATATATATATATATATATATATATATATATATGTATATATATATATATATATATATATATATATATATATATATATATATATATATATATATATATATATATATATATATATATATATATATATATATATATGTACATGTTATATACCCAGTGGCATCAGGCTAGCAAATCAACTACCACATTAAAAAGGTAGAAATTTAGCAGTGATCTAATGAAATATATCTAACATAACATACAGCTCAAAATATAAATTGTAATGTACTATTTTAATTATAATTATTATTTGAAAGTAACTATTTTGAAGTTATGAAATAGCTATAAAAAAATGATGATTGAAAAAATCTATTTTTTTTAATATATTCAACTCCAAAGGTTTTTTTATAAATATTGTAACAATCCTTGCTCGACCTTATAATTCTAAAATATCACCTTGACATGTTAACATGACAAAATTAAACTTTGACTAAAGTAGTTGCCTTATAAAATAAGTTGAGCATAGTATTACAAGGAACATGGTGGGATTTGAACTCCATTTGCTTAAATAAAGTTATTTACATCTTTAACAAATATCTTATTCATATTAAAATTTATCTGAGACAGTTTACATTATACAGTACAATACTTACTTTTAGACAACAATATTCATGAAATGATTTTCCAAAACATTCCATCACATCCAAACTAGGCAATTCGTATCTGAAAAAAATATTATTCATTTTTTAACAGTACTTTTTTAATAACAATTTTTTTATGAACAAATACAATTTATTATTTTAACTATAACTTTATTTTAAAGCAACAAAAAATTCTTTTTTATTCCACTACACTTATGTCATCACTTATAAACTTTAAAAACAGTTTTAAATCTTATCATTAAATGGCTACATTTTTCGAAGAATGTAAAACATGTTAAAAATATATTTATCAACAACTTTCTCCTAAATCAAAACATAGTCAGAAAAAAGTTCTCAAAGGCTTGGACTATGTTTGCATTGTGTATTTCTTGTTGAACTCATTAGACATTTCTAGATGGCTTTTCCTTTAAAAACCTTTACATAGATCATCACACCCTTTACAGATCTTAATAGACTATTTATAAATTTTATTTGTGGTGGGATTATATACTAAATTTATTTTAAATTTTAATTTTCAAAATAATTTTATACAAATCATTTTGAAAACTGGACAAGTCAGGACATGATATGATACATGAAACAGAGTTTCATAAATAATTAGTGTTAAAAAGTAAAAGAAATTTCTAGTGTCTCATTGAAAAACTGTAAACTAATTTGTGAAGATTTATTGGAGACTAGAGTGGAATAAAATTTGGCAAATAAAACAAAAATTTTTAATTTCAGTTTTTTAACTAAAAATACTCCATGAACTACTAAACCTACAAAAACACTGATCCCCCACACAAGCACAATCAGGTTCACCTGCTAAGCCTGTTTTAGAAGGGCATTGGACCACAAATACACTCATTTAATCCCACCAAGTCCTATAAACATATATATATATATATATATATATATATATATATATATATATATATATATATATATATATATATATATATATATATATATATATATATATATACATATACAGTAGCATCCAAAAGTTTGTCGACAGGCATAAAAAAGTTAAATTTTGCTAATATTTCAGGATTGAAATATTAGCTAAATTTAATCCAAATCATGGATTGATGAAATTTGATGAAATCAACAGCCATTGTGTATTTCATCCGAAATACACAATAGCTGATGACTCCATCAAAAGTTGTTTTTATTCATTTAATATAAATATATATATATAATATATATATATATATATATATATATATATATATATATATATATATATATATATATATATATTATATATTATATATATTATATATTATATATATTATTATATATTATATATATTATTATATATTATATATATTATTATATATTATATATATTATTATATATTATATATATTATTATATATTATATATATTATTATATATTATTTATATTATTATACTTTAGGCTCGAAGCAAAGATCATGATAATATAATATAATTCTGATAAAAAATATACAATTTTATTTAAAACTAATTTAATAAAATATATAATTTTTTTCTCATATAAAAATATATAAATTTAGATTTAAAAAAATATATAATTTAATTTTAATTTAAAAAATATATTTAAGTTTAATGTTCTTAGTTAGATACAAAATTATTAAAGGGATCCCCAAATGCCAAGACGATTTGTGTTCATAGATCATCATAGATAAACATTAGAAAATAAATTAAAAGTTAATTAAATTTTCCAAAACAAATTATTGAATGAGATATTAACAAAAAATTTCTTAATTTTTAATGCTATTTTGTTTCTCACAAAGGAAAGTTCCGGCTCTTTGACTAATTTTATAATTTAAATCCGGTCTGAATAATGCTTATATTTGATGTCAATAAAAAAAACTCTCTTTCAAAAAACTTAAATCAAGTTTAAATGCAGGGGTTTTTCCTTTAGTGGTTAAACAAAAGTATAAAAAGATTCAATATTATTATCAATTTTACATATCTGAAAAATACACACTAATCTTTTTAAAAATGGTTTCTTGAATTAAAAATATAAATTGTTATAAACATTAGGTAAAATTATCATTTTTAAAACGGTTTCCATTAAGTAAAGATTTTTAAATCTTTTAAAATTTAAATATGATGGATTATTTGTGCTTAGTGTTGTATTTAAAAAATTGAATACTTATTTTAAAGGAAAAATAATCATCTTGTGTAGTTTAAAGTTTGCTTCGCTTAATTACTATTTTTATTATGCTAGTTTATATATATATATATATATATATATATATATATATATATATATATATATATATATATATATATATATATATATATATATTAGGGTGCATCAAACGCCCCATACTTTCAAAAATTGATCTGTCCCTATTCTTAAAACTTTCTATTGGTACTCACAAGACACTCTGTTAAATTTTATCAAAATTGAATGAGATTAAGGGGGGCCACCTCAAATCTGAAACTTGCGACGAGACCTTAAACAGAATAAAAAAAAGTTTTACAAATGTATGTCATGTTGGGTCTCAAAAGAAGCGAAATTTTATTGATGAAATTTCAATAACAAAAAAAATTATGCACAGTATTTATTATTATAATTTTTATTGCAAAAAAATTTTTTTTAAGCAAAAAATTAAAAAAAGCTTTTTTTTTATGGTTTTTAACAAAAAAAAATTTTAACAAAAAATCATAACTATTTTTGAAATTTTTATAAAATTTCGCTTCTTTTGAGACCTAACATGACATACATTTGAAAAACTTTTTTTTCTTCTGTTTAGGGTCTCGTTGCAAGTTTCAGACTTAATGTGGCCCCCCTAAATCTCATTCAATTTTGAAAAAATTTAACAGAGTGTCTCCTAAGAACCAACAGATGGTTTAAAGAACAGGGACAGATCAAATTTTGAAAGTATGAGGCGTTTGATGCACCCTTATATATATATATATATATATATATATATATATATATATATATATATATATATATATATATATATATATATATATACATATATATATATATATATATATATATATATATATATATATATATATATATATATATATATATATATATATTTTAAATATTTTTTCTATAAACATCTTTGCTTCCAACAAGGCTGCAAGCAACCACTAACTAGTGTTGAAAGTTAATGGAAGAGAAAAGATGAAAATTGTAGAGCAAGATAACGATTGACAGATGACTTAAAAGATTGAAAATTATATGAATCAGGAAAGCAAGATAAAGGAAGCGAATTTCAAAGAACTGATGTTCGAGGAAAAAAACTGGACAAGTAAGAGTTTTTGAAGCACTTAAGAACAGTAACAGAAAAAGGATGAGACTTAATTGAATGACGAGTAACACGAGAATGAATTTTAGTAGATGGCACAAGAGACGCTAGCTCTTTAGAGCAGTGCCCATTATAGTATTTGTAGAAAAGAGAAAGAGAAGCAACATTACAACGATGTGACAGAGGTTGAAGGTTGGCTGCAAGAGCAGGTCCAACTATGTTTACAACGCGTTTTTGCACCTTGTCTAAAAGAGAAAAGGCATCATTAGAAGATCCGCCCCAGATTTGGCAACAGTATTCCATACAAGGCCGGATTTGAGATTTATAGAGATAGAGAATAGAATCCAGAGTAAGAAAGAGTCGAGCTCGATAAAGAGAAGCAACTTTAGAAGATGCTATTTTTGCACCGGATTTGATATAAGGTTTCCAAGAAAGATCAGAAGTAAGTTAATCCTAGAAAATAAAGGGTAGGAGACTTATAGAGTGCATTACCGTTACAAAATATAGGAAGGTCTAAATTAATGCGATAACGATTGGCTGAAAAAAATTGAACTTAATCTGAATTAAAGTTCACCAGTCACTGTGACTCCCATGCTGTAACAGAAGTGAAACCCTTTTCCAGCTCAGATGCCCCCTGCAAGCAATCAGAGGGAGTTGGCTTTTTATGGTGACAAGAATAAATGGTAGTATTATCAGTGAACAATGCCACCTTAGATGTGAGGATATCTGGAAGATCGTTAATGTAAATTAAAAAGAGTATAGGGCCAAGGTTTGAACCTTGAGGAACCCCTGAGGATACAGAATAAGAAGAAGAGTGCTGTCCATCAAGGACAACTTTTATACTACGATTGGAAAGGAAGAATTCAATAATCTAAAGATGTTTCCAGATACACCATAAGAAGAAAGCTTATGGAGAAGACCAGCATGCCAAACTTTATCAAATGCTTTAGAAATGTCAAGAGCCATGGCCTCAACTTCTCCACCTTTATCTAATGCGCGATAAAACCTATCGGTTATTACTGATAGCAAATCAGCCGTAGAACGAGAAGATCGAAGTCCATATTGATGATCAGAAAGTAGGTTATGAGATTCGAGATGAGAGATTAAGTGTTTGTTAATTAAAGATTCGAAAACCATGCTTATGATAGGAAGAAGACTAATGGGACGGTAGTTAGACGAATCGGATCGCTCTCCAGAATTTTTAAAAAATAGAGATAACAGATGCTGCTTTCCAGCAGGCTGGAAAACAAGACTCTAATAAGCACTTGTTAAATAGTTTTGAAAGGATAGACGACAGCTCCGGAGAACACTTCTGCAAGACTATAACAGGTATGTTGTCCAGGCCGCAACCTGTTGAAGAGTCTAAGCAGGAAACCACTTTAGATACAGAAGCTGGAATGCTACGGATGTCGAGCAATGGATCAACCTGTTTGACAGCTATATCAGGTAGAACGCAACTAGTGGAATCAAGAGATGATATTGATGAAAGGTTCTTGGCAAACAATTCAGCTTTGTCTTTAAGTGAGGTGACAAAGTCTGAACCATACAAAAGAGGTGGAATTACAGACTTGCCCTTATTATTGATACTGTTAAAGATTCTCTAGAAGTCACGAGAGCCTAATTTTTGTGATGAAATACGAGATTTCATGATCTGAGAATAGCGGGCTTTGGCGTTAGACAAAACCTTTTTACAATGGTTCCTAGCAGTAATAAACAGACGTCTGTTTTCTGGAGAATTGTTTTGCTGATAGATATGGAAATAATGGTTTCTATTGGCAATTGCATATATATATATATATATATATATATACATATATATATATATATATATATATATATATATATATATATATATATTATATATATATATATATATATATATATATATATATATATATATATACAAATAGCCTGCGAGTCAGGCTATTTGTCAGTCTATGTATGTACTGAAGCCCCGGCAGCAGGCTATTTGACGTTAGGTGAGTATGACATCATCACGCTCAACTAACTCAGCAGTATAAGATATATATGTATATATATATATATATATATATATATATATATATATATATATACATAAATATATTTATATGTATATATATATATATATATATTATATATATACATATATATATATATATATATATATATATATATATATATATAATATATATATATATATATATATATATATATATATATATATATATATATATATATATATATAATCAGCTTGGAAAATAATGGTCGGTCAATGACTGCCTGAAATGACTAAAATTACTATTTTGACCTCCCAAAATAAATTCTTGCTGGTCATGTTTGAGCAGTTGAAAAAAAATTCAGAGGTTCGAAAAACAAGGTTTTACACATAATCATAAGGTAAATACAGCTCATGATATACTTTCATTTCCACATTTTATTACGCACCATATAGCTTCAATATTATATTTTGCATTTAAATTTTCATTATTTATTTCATATGACTTTAAATTGTTGGTAACATAAATACAAACACCACCACCATTGCTTTGTTTACAACATTTCTATAAAGTGAATAGCTTTCTATGTTAGTTAATAAGGCTTCTGTCCATCATGTCTCACATACCATCATAACTTGTGGTTTTTTGTTTTTAATTTCTATAATGAAGTCTTCATTTTTGTTGCATATTTTATATAAATAAAGTCAAATAAATTCAAAAATTCAGCGTTACAAAAACATAACCGCTATCTTTATTGGCGCACTCTCTTTATCTATTATTTTTAATGTTCAAATAAAATTATTAATTATTTGATTATTTTTTATTCATAAATGTATTTTTATATATCAATCAAAAAAAGAATACATAAACAAATAAAAAATTAATAATATAAATAATTTTAATTATACATAAAAAAAAAAAAAAAAAAAGATTTTTTTTAAATTCTCCTAATACAAAAAATTTCAGTTAATAACTTTTTCAAACCAACGTGACAAACTATAAAACTTCAATCTTTTCTAATGTTTTTATAATATTAGGCAAACTCTTTTAATTAAAAAAATACTTACATCTAATTATCGTTTAATAAAATACTAACTTTATTTAAATTATCAAAAATATTTTTAAAAAAAGTTTGTTGAAATGCATTAATTGTCGTCACTGTTTATAAAATTAAGAATACAAATTGTTAAAAAAAAAGGAACTCATTAAAAAAACTTTTGAAATAAATAAAAGCTTTGTTAAATATTCTATGATATTTTATTTAATAGCATTTTAAAACTTTATTTAAAAGCGTTTAAGTGTAAACAAATTTTATAAGACAGATTGCATAGTAAAAAAAATATTGTTACATTATCGACTATCAAATTTTATTTATGTTGTTACGTTTTCGACTATTAAATTAAATTTATGGATTCATCAAAAAATTTTCATGCTTGTACCGATTAGGAATAATGCTTGAGAACCTTCTAGCACTTCGAGAAAACTTTCACCAACTGTTCTACGCATGCCCACGTGATTATTTTTCCCGTCCCTTTCCCGTTCCCATGAAAAAACGGATGAGTGGAAACTCACCTTAAGCGATCGAACACCAAGAGCCAAATCTGCAGTTTTATCCTGAACTTAAATACTAGTAGCATCAAATCGTAACATTATTATGTGCCTATGTCATAAAAGCAAGAATATAATTGTAATTTGAATGTAAAACTTTAGTAGAAATGGCTCTTGCTGACCACCTTGTCCCACTCAGGCTTTTGATGGTAACTTTCCTGTCCTTTCCAGCACCACTTACAAGACAAGAACTGCCATCTATGAGTTGAAGAAGCACAGAAATTATACAGGCATTGGAGAAACCCAAAGTAAGCTGTCAACAGCAAGGTTTAAAAAAACGCATCCGTGAGGTGGCGAGGCATACGCTTATTGCAAAAAAATAATTTTTTTGAACTTCACCATTTTTCAACTTAAAAAAAAAAAGTTAAGAGAGCAGCACCTTATTTTGGTGTCAGTAACTTTTTGGGATTTTTTAAAATTTTGATCTCCAACATTTTGATCAGGAATTTCTTTTATAGAAATCCAGTAGCATTGTGCTTCTTTCAAATCCTTCCAAAATGCTGGGTCAGATTGACATATTGAAAAATTGGACTAAAATAAAAAAGAGCCATGCAGCTTGAGTACACAATTAAAAATAATAATACGTTTAACAATATTACTCATAACAATAATAACAATAATAATAACCGGAATAGTAATAAAGATAATAACAATGACAACAATAAATTTTATTATTTATTCCTTTCTCTTAATTCCACAGTATTCTTACATTTCCATATGACACATTTTCATGCTGCAATGTTGAATTGGATAACACTGATACATTGTTCATTGAAGAATTATCTGTTACGCTCTGCAACTGTGGACTTTCTGCAATTGGGTTTGATTCAATGGCACTCATTGATTCTCCTCCCATGCTTTATCAGGAGACTGTAAAAAAGTAGTTAATTTTGGGGTTTTTTTAATGTTGCTTGCTGTCTGTCACTTTTTTTTTTTTGCAGTTTGTAGTTTGCAGTTTGCATTTTAAATTTCCGCTTAGATATTTTTTGTCCATTATTGTCCAATTATTGCAAAAATAATATTGTAATCTGAATTTATAACTCATTAGTAGTAGAAAAAAAAAGAAGTAAAAAAACTAATATTTCAAAAAATATATAAAGTATTTCAATACATTTTTACCAATAAAAGTAAATAAAAAAACAAACAACTATTAATTTAAGTGATATTGTTTGTTCTCAAATGAAAAAAAATTTAAATCAAAATGTAGTCAATTAGCATTTCTTAATAAATAATTAAACAGTTTTGTATATAACTTCTGTTTATTTCACTTTCTCAAGTAATTAAAAAAAGATATAAATTGTTTGAACTTTTTTCTAATATAGTTCGAACGTGTTCAAGTTCGAACTTTTTTTTAAAAAGTTTTGAGTTGCTTATGCTTTTTGCACAGAAGGAATTGAAGGTGCAGTTTGTCTTTATTTTTGCATGATGAATAAATTTCCTCCATAACTTTGACTGCATGCTCTGCGCATTGATTAATTCTGGGTATCTGTAGTATAGATGCTCTTGCTACCAATTTTTTTTTAAAGAGCTTAACGCCTTCTTCTATGGATTCAATATTTCAGCCAAGTTATTAAAGTTGTTTTTGTTGTACAGTTGGTCTGTAAACCAATAGTCCAGAACTTTCCTTGTTGTCTGCAGAACTGTCCTTGTTGAAGGAATAAAAATAAAGGCCAGGATCGCTAGTATAGCTCTGGAGTTCTACCACCTATTGCTAATGTTGGGTATTTTCTGAAACCTGATCAATGGAAAATGTCCCTTTTCCTCAAAAAATTGGAACACTCGAGTGAGATAAAACAAAAACTTCATATCATCAATCCAGCCTGATTTTTTCAAGAATTACTTCTGTTCCGTTTTCAAGTTGTGTTTTTAGTTGTTCGTACTCCTTTAACAGTTGAGATACAAATGGATATTCGATGTTTGGCGATTGTGTTTTACTTCCAAGTACTTCATCCATCACCAAATGGTAGATTCTATCTAATAGATGGTGTTGACAACTGATAAACTGAGGTTTGTTGATGCGTTTCTCTGTGAACATTCATTGCAATATTACAACACCATTCTTTTTCCAGTGTTGCCCTTGGTGATATCTGCAACAGTCATCTGTATTGAATTCCATAGGTAAAAATCATAGAGTATGAATTTCACCTATGGAATTTGATTTCTCTTCATCCAATTTGATTTCATCTTACATCCAATTTGATTTCTCTTCTTTCATTTTTAGACAACCACTTGATAATCCATTCTGTTAATGTGCTTGCCATCAAAGTGTAAGGACCAACTTTCCATATGCAACTTTTCAATCATTTCTTTCTTCAACTTGCTTGCCTCTGTGATTGCTGACTTGTAAATAGCTGATTGACATGGAGATGGGATACCAATGCCTTTACAACCCAATTGATTGCAAATGTTAGCAGCTTTGTTTGTTGATACTCTTGTGGAGGTCACCAAGTTGACTGCAATTTTGCTTTATAGTGTTTTCTGCTTGGTGTAGGAATTGTCTCATTTTCTTCATTGTTTCCATACTCACTGTCGTCAGCCTCAGATTCAGAATCACCAAAACCAGGATAGTAACTTACTTAGATACTTCTTTTTTTATGAGAGTCTTCGAATTTTACCAGATTATTAGTCCAGACATCCTTGTTCTTCTCAATGCTACTATTGCTAGGCTTGTGCGACACCATGTGTTGCTTCTGAAATAACCTAAAAACTAGATGAGAAGCTATATATAGTCAAAATGTTCTAGAATGTTTCAGAATTTTCAGATCTTCCTATTTTTGTGAATGGTATGTACTCAATGAGTCATCTACCCTTCATTTTCTAGGATTAACTCTTACTTCTAATCATTCTTGGAAACCATTTATCAAATCGTTGTAAAATTAGCATCTGCTAAGGTTGCATT